GTTCAATGAACGCGCGGTAATATAGGATGGGAGCTGACCTGGGTTGGGGCCAGGAGATATGTATGGGGGCGCATTATCTCCTAGCGGAGGCAGACTAGGTCAGAGTGTTAGGGTAGGAGCCCACTAGACGACGACAATCCTTTGGAAGACATTTTTTGGGAGTCCACTGCAGGCGGCAAACGGAAGCATTTTTGTTTTCACTCTGCCTACCTCCGCTTTTTCAGCACACCAACCAATCCATGTGCTTCCTTTCCGCACAAGATGGGTAAATCCAAAGGGTGCGTTTGCCTACCTCTAAAGGTAGGCAAACACACCCTCTGGATTTACCCATCCCGTGCGAAAAGGAAGCACAAGGATTGGTTGGTGTGCTGAAAAGGCGGACGCAAACTTGCCCGAAAAGGCAAGTCTTCCTGATCGGGTATTAGGAACCTTGGGAAGTCCCGCAAATTGTTGTGGCGGTGGAGTCCCTTTTCAACTGCCCTTTCCCAGCGGCTACGATTTTGGGCTGGCGGATGTTTTCCTGGTGCCAAGCACCGCCAAGCAGTGGGGTCCTACCCTTAGTTTTGAGGTACACCTTTTGGGGGAACAGGTTACCTCAAGGTAGAAGGGAATGGGGAGGTTCTCTCTCTCGTTGGGGCTGATAGGAACTTCATGCTAATAGCGGGGTTGGGCTCAGCAGATGCAGCGAGATGAGAAGAGGAAATGAGGGGAGAGGAGGAGAATACATGGAAGAAAGGGAGGGGGGGAAAGAAATAATCATCAGCGTCGTCGTCATTATCCATCATCTTTGTGATCTTCTCAGGCCCTCAGGGTACTCGTCAAATTTCATCATCAGAAAGTTTTGTTGATCAGGATTCTGATATTATTAGATCCTTGTTTTTTGGTTGGCATTCTAGATTAGCTAACTTCTAAGTGAGTCTTCTTGTGTAATGGCCAGGTTGAGTTGGCGCGAGAACGATGCTAACCGGCGTTGGGGAAGTGCCCTGTAACCTGCTTGTGTAGGACCTTGAGGCTTTGTATAGAGGTCTGGAATTGCCAAGGGAGGAAGGCAATCTGCAAACTTGACTAATGGCTACAATCTGGCCGACGATGGTCGGAGCTGGGGTGGGTAGCGTTGCCCTGTAACCAAGCCAGATTGGGGTGTGAGACCGGGAAGAGGCCTGATTGGTGCACAGCACGGGCTCAATTGTGATTGGTTGTTAGGAATGGATACAGGAAATTAGGGATAGGATAGTAATTCAGTGTTAAGTAGACAATCTTTCTGATTAGTCATCATCTAGCTTTATTTCATGACCTCAATCACCCACTCTCACATCCTAAATCATCCAAAATGATCCTCAATCATCCCAAATTTTCATCAATTGTCAATCATTAATGTATTCCCATTATAAGGGACACTGGGCCCGGTTCCCAGCACGTGATGCTCCCCACGAATAGATTGGAGCAATTTATTGAAGAAAAAAAAAATTGGACTTACAGGCCCACAATTCAAACTTGGGCTTATATTTCAACAGCTCTAGGGTGCACCAATTGGGCTGGGGTCGTTGGTAATGAAAGGATTTCACTGCAGACCCCTGAAAGTCGGTCACATATCCCCGCAAGTCCCAAAAGGGTCCTAAGGTCCCCACTCTGAAGTACCCGGAGTCCTACTAGCCTTACGGTGGCTATGTTAGTACGCCAATATGATAAAATACCTAGTCGAAAAATACGGTTTTGCTGAACTATGTAGTACGTGTACCTGGGGTTTAGATGAGGAGAGTTGTATTCCGGAATCCGAATTTTGTCCTTAGGCTAGTACGATAGTTGAGAAGAACGTTTGTGTTTTACCCTAGTACGGTAATACCTAGTTGGGAAGAACGCTCTGCGGAATTTTGTAGTACGTGTACCTAGTGTATAACTGAGGAGAGTTGTTGTTTTCTGGGATCTAAATCTTATCCTAGTGCCTAGATACTGTCGGCTTTGGCGAAAGTTCACGGCGGTTACAAATGAGTAACGGCAACAACAAAAGGAATGGTGGGTATGGGGGTAGAGGACCACTCCAATGCTACGAATGCGGAAAACCAGGACATGTGGCATAACACTGCTGGTCCAAGAGGCGAAGATTACACCAACAGGATAACAAGGTACATATTTTCATAAGGGAGCTAATGGAGGAGAAAAAAGAAGAGCAGAAGAAACGAGAAGAGGATGAGAAGAAGAGGCAGGGGGAGGACGAAGAGAGGAAAAGAGAATTGGATATAACTAGGAGGACGGAGGAGTTGAAGACTCTGTTGCAGACCGATATAGAAGAAAAATGGAGAAAACAACAACAGGAGGCAGTCAAAAAGACGAAGGAGGGAAAAGGGGAGTTGATCAGGATTACAAGCCCGGATGCGGCGAGGCACACCACTGACACCAGCCCTAGGTTCTCATCGAGGAACAAGACCATTGACATTATGAAGGAGAGGACCAAGAAGAGATCGAGTAGATACCGCAAGAAGCGAAGGAGCAGGAAGCAGGTGGTGACTTCATCTACGAGCTCGGATTCCGAAGACGACAGCAACACCTCTGAGAAATCAAGCGAAGATACGGACGAGGAGATTTTGTGGATCGCACGGAAGCTGCGGGAGGAAAAACTGCGGGCTAAGAAAAATAAGCAAACCAAGGGTAGACAAAGGAAACCGGAGACAAAGACTTTTGAATTCGGGGAATGATCGCGCCATGCGACAACACCGGTTACACGTACGAAAGGAAGCGTCGAACCTAGAACACCACTCGCAGGAGGCTACAAAGGGATAGCTGCGAGACGTTCACGGGATGGACTCATCGAGTACACCCTGGTGGTGCACAGAGAGTACTCCGCTAAGAAGGTTTCACAACTCTGGGAACTATGTAAGAAGGAGGGCATAAGATCGGCAAAGAAGGACGAAATAACTACGATTTCGTCAAAACGGACATTTTTTATTTTTTGAACGAAATTGAAACTCACATATTTTGCCTTATTTTTCTTCATTTGTGATACGAAATGGGGGTAAGGGGTAGGGGGTAAGGGTTAAGAGGGGGGGGGGGGGGGGG